GGCATGAGACAACTGTTGTCATAATTCAAGTAATTAGTTGATTATCCGAAACATCAAACAATTTATCATGAGTAATCAATATGGTGACTAAATAAGAGGTGTTTTATTTATACTAAATTTTTTTGAGGCCATATAGGATTAAGTATTATTATTGTGTTTCAATTTGCATGCTTTGACTTCCAGAATAACTGGGTTATTCGAACCTCCACAGTCGATCATACGTTGGAAGTAGGTATGAAGGAAGAGGGTCATTAATCTGTCTGTAGATTGTCTAGAGTGTTTAGACATAGCACAAGTTTGTTGCAGAGTTCATGAGTGCTTTAATAAGATTAGAGTGTTGGATTAAACCCACACTCACTTGAACTACTTCATGGATTCATCACGAGTGATTATGAGATGATAATATTGTATATTCTTGAAACCAAGACGTGTGAGTTGTAATTACGATTCAGTTGCACATTGATAATATGTAAACACACCAGTAACTTGGTGTTATAAAACATATTGTTGTGTGTGATTTGATGAGTAAGAGAAAGTGAGCATTTTAGTCGAAGTTTATCAATTCCTTTTACCCTAAGTAGGATAAAAGCGATATCTAAGGGCCCCTCGATGATTTAGTGATGACACCCTAAGCGATTGGCCAAGTCGGGACTAAGTTGATGTATTCAATTGTAGTCTATTGTCAGTCGTCATAAGTCGAATGTCGGGAAACAATACATTGACAGAGAGAATGATTTAAATCTATGTCTCGTGTCTATACGATATCTTGTAGAATAGAGGAACATATGATCCCTTATCTAAATGACACGTATTTGATAAGATTAGAGTTAACAATGGCTTTTGAAAGCTACGATTGTTGATCAGGTTCTGAAGTTATGCAAAATTGTTATTAGACTTATCCAAGTGGGAGAGTGTTGGATTAGTGTCTAAGTGAATAACTATTTTGGTATGTAGTTGACCCGATTATGAGCATGGTCCTTTTGGGTTGCCATAACCATAGCAACTTGTAGGATGAATTAAGGAGAGAAAGTTTTAATTATGATCTATTAATATATTATGTGTATAATATATTAAAGGAGAAATCATATTGTTTAATTAATATTAGTCAAGATTTAAATAAGAATTAATTTTGTAGCTAAAAGAGATTAGTTAAATTAAGGGACTAATATTGTAATTATAAGATAGTTACAAAGTTGGGCTTAGGATCCATTAGATGGCAATAGACGAATTCTATATAGAGGTCCATAAAGACGTCGTCCAAGGGCCTTCTAGAATGGTCCATTGGACTGCTTAAGGCCTAAGCAGTCAGATAAGGGTTTCCTAGTTGAAAACCCTAATAGCCTACATATATAGAGTACCCCTATGGTCCCAAAAATGTTGTTAGACTTCCCTTAGGGTTTCTAGACATTTTTGGGTGCTTCTCCACTTCTCCTCTTCATCCTTGTTATTCTTGGTGTTTGTGACTCCATTAGAGGAGCAACACTTGAGGCACTAAGCTTTCTGAAGCCAAGATATTGATTGTTATTGCTACATAACAATCAAGGTAAGATCTAAACCCTACTTTATACATTAATTTGATTACTTGTATGCTAGATTTAGGATTTGTAAGTCTTGGAAGTTTATTGCATGTTCAAAATAGAAAAACTAGATCTAGGCAATTAGGGTTACATTAACACCATACGAATGTTCTTATGCTCAAAGCCCATCAGATGAATGCCTTCCTTTCGGCACAAGGCATTAAACTCCTCTTATCAAAACTCAAGCCCATTATCCCTATGAAGATACTTTACCACCAATCATGGTTAATTTTCAACTTCTATTTTCCAATTTCTAAAGGTAGAAAAAACATCACCCTTATTTTTCAAGAAGAGAGACCACACCTTTCAGGAGAAAACATAAATGATAGTGAACATGTAAACAACTCCACCTTTTGAAGCAACTCGGGCTGGTCCCCTTAAATCTGAGTGTACATAGTCAAGTCATTCTTTCATTGTATGAATACTAGTCATAAATCTCACTCGTTTTGCTTTTCCATATATAGTATTCATAAGTCAACAATCTTTTGCTCATTAAGTAATCCTGTTCAACTCAATTCAGACATTTCGTGAAAACTTATATGGCCAAGTCGAATGATCAAAATGAGACTTTCAAACAATAACAACATCAATCGAAATTGTTTTCCATCAAGAACTCCACCTAAGAACTCCACCTATATCATCAAATGCTTATCCAATTTTATCAAAGGAGTTGAGAGATAACAAGTTTATTCTAAGGTCATGAACATATCTAACATCCTTAATGGTTCTAATAACCCATCAAACATACGGGTTCTGACTGAGCCATGTCCAACAACCGGACATGTACAATTGTTACGCATTAGAACATACCCTTGGTTAACCTTTTCAAATGTCTAAAACCAACTTTTGTTGTGACACATATGAAAATTACAACCATAATCGAGTATCCATTCACTAATGGAATCATGTTTATCTGAATAAACTGTGAGAAGTTCTCCAATACAATCGACCTTTGCTACATCTACTTCACCTAAAGTGCTAGCTTGTTTACCATTTGTTATTGCTTTCTCTTTATTCTTCAAATTGAAGCATTCATCAATCGATCGTCCCTTCTTGTAATAGCAATTACAAAACATTCATTTTCTTTTACACATGGATCTGATCCTATTGGCAGATTAAGGATTTTTACATCCATCTGTTGTTCTTCCTCGGGCATTTAAACCTTTGGCTTACCCTTCACTTGAACCACCACCGGTAATATGCTTTATCTTTTCTTTTGAATCTAGTGTTGTAAAACCTTCATGTAAGAAAAGAGTGTCAGGACTACAAATGATAGTTTCACAAAAATGGTTGTAGGATTCTGGGAATGATGACAACAAGAATAAATCTAAATCTCCATATTCTTACTTAACATCCATAGTCTCTAAGTTACTTACTAATTCTATGAATGTGGATAAATGTTCAGCCAAAGAACCTCCTTTAATCATTTTAAGATTAAAGAACTATTGCTTTGAATGAACTTGTTTGGTGCGCTCTTCTTTGTCAACAGTTGCTCCAACTTCAACCATAAATCGGTCGCTGAAGTTTTATTCAATACTTCTCGCAAAACATCATATGAAAAATGCAAACAAATCTAGGATTGAGCTTTTAAATCTTTCATCTCTTTTTCTTCTTACGTCCATCAAGCGGGCATTATCTCGTGTAAATCCATCTGAATAAGAACATTTTTCATCCTAACTTGCTACAGGGGAAATCTGACGTTTCGATCCAATAATGGGATATCGTACGTCATTGAAGACAAGATCCATTACTTGATAAAATGATCCCAATAAACTAATAATAAAACCTAGAAGCTCTGATACCAATTGTTGTAACTAAAAAGATAAAGCCCTAACACATCAAACAACCCAGAAATTCGAATCAATGAGAACAATATTAGTTCAAAAGGAATGTGACTAAGATATCAAAGCACAATCAATCACATTTAATGAAAAATACCAAGCAAACGTAAATGAAAAGATACATAGATATTTACGTAGAAAACCCAAATCATGAAAAACTACGTCCGAAGGAAGCATATTACCAATCAACTAGGATATTGTAGTTTTTACAGAGCTTGATCAAATAGATTACAATTAGTTAGAATGATTTGGTGATAAAAAGCAAAAGACCTAGAACATGTCACATAAGAACAAATAAGTATAAAAAGTCTTCAAAACTCTCACTCTTAGAGGGGGAAATGGTTTGACCAATTTGGCTAAATTTGGTCCTTCAAAAATAGAGTATTTGCATTTCAAGAACACACCATTTTTAGACCTCAAAACACCCATTTTAGACTATGGTACACCTTTTATACTTGAAACAGCATTTTAGACCTGGGTTGCTAAAAGACAAAATAATCATTGAACCAAGTAGAACTTGTCAATTTTGGAAGTCATATTTCCATATTGATAAACTAAAATTAACAAAATATACTAACATTACTTTTTATATTAATTAAAAAATAGTTATATAATGTTCTTAATTACATTAATAAATAAGAAGAATATAATTTTCTCGTCTTTTCTTTTTTTAAGATTTAAAATATTTTGTTTTACTAAAACAGGTTATACATATCTACTATCATATTCCTAGGTTTACACATATGTACTATGATATTCCAAGAGTTATACATTTAGTTTCCAACAAGACTTAACATTCAACATTTTGTTGTGGCAAATATATACATTAACTTCTAATCATATTCCTAGATTTATATACTTTAGTAATTACAAAATATAAAAGCATATTAAATAATAATTAATTAAATTAGTTAACATTTAAAACATAAATGATAAAAATATAAAATTAATAAATTAGTTGTATGTTATTATTTGAATTTGAATTATTGAGCATTTGAGCCAATTCATCCAATCCACCTGCAATAATATTAGCTACAGCTATTGAAACACATAATGTTTTTGATAAGTACAATTATTCAATTACCAACTGTATTTAAGTATATCTTAATTCATTGTCAACGAAATTCAATTATTCCTGTCCATGTGCTTTTAGTATGGTAGAGGTTTAAAATCCTCACTTATATAAACCGTTAAAATTCAAGTACCAACGACACCCAAAATCAAAATGTTTGACGAATTGCCTTTCCATATCCAAGAGGCAATCCTGAAAAGGTTTCCTATCAAATCATTGATTCAGTTCAGATCCATCTCGAAAGCATGGAAGTCTTTGATCGACAGCTCAGAGTTTATTGCTGCTCACAAGGTCAGCCACACTCAGCCACAACATCTGTTTGTATCGTACACAAATGAACAAGTGCCTAAATATGTTTCTTTTGTCGATGATGACTCTTTCCCCCAACATAGGTTTGTTCCTTTTCTTCCCCTGTCCATTAGACATCTATACATAGTTGGTAGTTCCTATGGCTTGTTGTGTTTCCAAGGTTATCAGCTTCCTGGTTCCAGCTATAATAATAGAAAGAGGATGGCTGTTCTTTTGAATCCTTCCATTAGAAAATCAATAGCTATTCCTCTGCCTGATATGTTATACAAGAATCATATGATCGTTCTTGGTTTTGGAGTTTGTCCTGTCACTATTGATACCAAGATCATCCAGATCACTCAATTGCGTTGGGGTTGGGGGAATGAACTGAAAAGCGAAATTGGCAACTTTTGGGAAGTTAAGGTTTATAAGAAAAGTTCGGGGAAATTTACAAGTCTATCTGGAAATCTCCCCAGCATATCAATACATATTATAGGGCGCCAACTAGTTGTTGGTAGGTATATCTATTGGTGTGCTGTAGATTGTGCAACTGTCGATAGTGTGTTAAAAACTCGTAATCTGATCGTGTCATTCGATATAACTAATGAGAACTTTGATGTAATAGACCTCCCGGACAAGATAGCTATTCTCCCTCTCTCACTGTTTTCTGTTTCTATGTTACGGGAGTCTCTTGTCTTGCTTGAATACAATAAAGACGGATATGAAATATACAAGGAGGAGCAACTTGGTTGTACTGTATGGATGGTGGAGCAGGGTGTAGAAAGATCGTTTACAAAGCTATTCAGTATCAATGCACCAGGTGACTTGATGACGGTGTTGGGTTTTACGAAGAGGGGGGGACCTATTATGGGAGTCCAAGATTATATCTTTGAGTCGACTGAAGAGCTTGTTGTGTATGAGCCTAACTCTGAACTAAGCAATCATCTGATTAGTGGATCTGCATTTATCGTGAATTCCTACATTGAAACGCTAGTTTTGCTCGGTAGCTCTGATTGCAGTAGCTATTGACACACGACTTTCAAGGATAATATCCGTAAATTAGTTGAAGTTTTTTAAATATTAGATGGATCGCATGTAATTTGATGCCCTTTAACTTTCTGTTTCGATGATTGTAACATTATTGCTGCTAAACCTCACATTTTTATGAACATTATTCAGTAATTTCTTGGTGTTAGTTTTATTATATATATGGTTACTAAACCTCGACATGTTGGCCTAATGAGAGGCTTGTGACCTTGTTTAAGTGAATGCTTAAATGTAAATTAGATTTTTCTTTTTCAACTAGTCGCCATAGGTGTTTGTTGAAATTTTTAAATGAGAGTTTTAGTTCATTTAAATTTTAACCATATATAGTTTTAAATTTCGATGGATAAGTGATTGTACATAGCCTTTCCAAATTTGCCTCGAACACTTGTAAATTTTAGTCATCAAAAAAAAACTACAACAGTTGACAATGTTTCTGTAAATTGCATTTCTCATATAAATTCTCCCTTTTCCTTATATTTGTTAGGGTATTTGAATTGACAGGACTGCAATTCCCGATAATCATTGCCTTCCCTGACATCCGTAACATCAGTACCTATTTACTTAACAATTTTCATTGCTTTTAATTTATCTTTTTTACTTAATCCTAATTTTCCATATATACGACTTAAATCTGTTTTTAGGCAATTGCAAAAACCACCAAAAAAGTTGTTGAATCTAAGACTTCCACTAAAATTCTTGAAAGATCCACACTTTCACCAAAAAAATCCACTTCCGTAGGTCAATTTTTTTGACATGCTAAATATACATTTTTGTCTTTCTTTTTCTGATGCTAATATCCCAAATCGTTGTAGCCACTCTAGTGTAGTATATCACATACGGATAAAAGGAACATTGTTTCTCTTAGTGTCATTCACTTATTATCAGCAAGACAATTCATTTATAGAGTTCCTCTGCAAGATGACTGGTATAAAGTGCCCATTGATGAAATGGTGAAAAATATTCATTTATACCCCATGAAGTTGATAAGGCATATAAAACTTTTGTAACGCAGCCAAAATGCCTTGTGAAACTTCATTCAAAGGTTTATTTATTATGTTAACTTGTTTGTGCATTACAAGCTTTTTCTTCATAAGCTACTATACTAAGTTTTTTATTTACTCAATTTTGTTGGTATATGTACCAAATATGAAATCACCATAAGACAATGAACTTCAAAACTCAAAGAAGTGTAAACCAACTTTTATATCGAGTGATAACCTTTTCAAGAAGACAAGAAACAGTATCAACAAGATTAAAGCATAGTTATATCTATTCTTTGGTTTACGATATTTTTGCTTTCTTTACCATATTCTTAGACTTGTTATTAGTATAAGTTTATTTACTTTTATTTTTTTGTTTTTACTATTTTAATTAGGGATCTTGTGTATATATTTTTATTTTAATTATTAATAGTATCGATCTCTTTTTATCGTTTCATATTATCGATTTTACTTACATTTCTATTGTTTTGATGTTTTTAAAATATAATAAAAGTAACAATAAAAATTGAATTAATGTCACTAAACGTTAAACAGGAATCACACTACAAAATTTTCATGTATCTATAATAGAAATTTGGCCACGTTTTAAAGTTTTTAAATGTCACTAAAATTATACAATGATCATGTTACATATTTTTGACATGTGGGTAAACAGTTAACAATAGGCATGATCAAAATTAAATATATGTCTACAAGTGTTTTAAGATCATATTTTCCTCAAGTTTTTGTCACGATAACTTAAACAATAGCAACGTCGAAAAAAATAATGTTTCAAATAAATACCACATTTCACTATATTCAATAATCACGTAACTAATAAATCATGTATTGTCACGTTTAGATAATATGTGTGTGTTAGAAAATAATTAAAAAAACGACATGTTAATATACAAATAATGAGATAATATGGAAGACAATAGTCATGTTCATCTAAATTGCGTGTGTTGACAGGACACTAATGACTACGATTTAATTAAATGTCTTTGATTGTAGTACAAACAATAGTTACATTCAACAATGTTTGTGTGTTTAAATGATAAAATAGGTTTTCTAATAACCAAATCTTATGGTAATAAATTGAATATTAGTCACAAATATAAACACTATTGTGTCTATTAATCAATTAAGATTATTTTTTAATCGATTTTTTATATCGAAAATGATATAAAATAGTCATAGTTATGAATTTTTATATTTGAATAATAGCATCAGTCATGATATAAGTAATACAACTATAGATGTAAGCTAATATTAAATTCATAATTTTAATAAAATATGTCTTTATAATACTTATGATCATGTTTCAAGTAACTTTGTGTCTCTATACGTTAGGCAATAGTCATAATAAAAGATTGTTTTTGCCACTAATTATTAGCAAATCGCCACTTGTGAAATTAATTACAAGTGGTCATTCAGTGAGCATGATCATGTCTACCGTAATTGTATGTCTGTAAAGGATACTCAATAGTCTTAATAATCATTGAATTATGTGACAATTTGTTAGAAAATAACCACATTTAAACATGCACTACAATTACTAAGGAAGTGTGTCTACTAATGGTTTAACACTACTATATTAGATAAAAATAATTGATATATCAACAAAATTCACAAACCAATAATCACACTTTTATGATACAACCATATTTTCTAATATCATATATACACTAAGTTTTAAAGTAACCATAAGACTAATATAATGATATCATCTTTGGTCACACTTTCAATGAAAATACAAAATCTCACTATACGTATATAGCCATACTGTTATGGTGTGTCCGTTGATCATTTTTGTATTGGTGTAATGATAGATATATTTCTTTAACTTTGTATTGGAACTATTCTTTTGCTCCATTTTGCAAAATAAAAATGACAGGATATTGTATGAGGGAGTTAAAACCGGTAACTTTGTGCTTTTTGTTGTATATTTTGTTGTTCTTCATAGTCTAATATATATATGGAATCTATAATTAATTTACTTGCTTGTTGATATAAGATATACGGTATTAAATTTGTTTTGTGGTGCCATTCCCTATACTTCTCAATAGTCAACTCTGATGCGAATTTTTTGTATGGCTATAGTCTAATATATAGTATGTTCATTAACCACAAAATTAGAAGTTAGTGTGTCGGCGTGATTAATTATATATTCATATGTGCCATACTTATTTAATCCAAGGGGGATAATATTTACTTAAATTACATACAAATTTGTAGAACGGAGCAAAGTTTCATAATAATTAGATAAAAGTGAACGTGGTTAATTTTTGTGTAATGAAAAATCTTGGAATATGTTCTCATGTCATTGGTCCAAGATAGCTAGGAACAACATTGGTCATGTGAATGACACATCATCAATGCAACTTGTAATGGTGTTTAAACCCAGGTTGAACTGACCTATTAAAAGAACTTTAACAGATCTATTGAGCGAGGTGTTGGCAGCCAAAAACAATGGGGGTCTGGGTGTGGGTTCCATAAGAGCCCTAAACATCGGGTTACTTGTAAAATGGTGGTGGTGATTAAAGAACGACAGTCAAACCCTTTGGGCTCATGTCGTCTTAGGGATTCATAACTTATCTAATAAGCCCTTCGAATATCTTTCTAAACAATCGTCAAGTGGTGTTTGGAATAATATTTGCAGTATCAAGAGGGATTTAATTGAGTATGGTATGGATGTTCATGACATATTCGATGTAGTGATTAAGTCGGGTGAACAAACCCTCTTCTGGTACGACACATGGTTGGGGTCGAGGAACCTGAAGGCTAAATACCCATCTTTATTTGAACTGGAAGCAAAGAAAATATGTAGGGTATCTGATAGAATCGTTGACTTGAGCCATGTATGGCGTTAGAAATCTAGACCAATTGGATTTGGTTTAGAGTCTGAAGTTTCTGCTTTATCTAGGGATATATCTAATATTCGACTTGGGACGAGTTCTGATCATTAGAGTTCTAAACTATCCGTTGATGGCAGGTACGTTGTTTGCTCCCTTAGATAGATCGTGGATGCTACACACGTCAACTTCCCTGGCACTCCTGCTATTATATGGTGTAAGGTGGTTCCAATCAAGGTGTTATGCTTTGTTTGGAGGGCTGCTCAAGATAGAATACCAATTGCGGTGTCCTTAGAGAAGAGGGGTATTATGGTAAACTCCAATTTATGATGTTTGTGCATTGGTATACCTGAATCTATAGGGCATGCCCTGATGGAATGTCCATTTGCAACAGTGATAAGGAACAACATTTTGAGCTTGTGTGGTGTATCAACTGTGCAGAATCCTATAAAAATGTCCAAGATCTTCTTCAGCTAGCTGCCACCTGGAGCAATATCAAAAGAATAAGAGAAAGGTTCGTTGCCATCTGTTATGGTTTGCTTTGGAACTTATGGAGAATTAGGAATAAACATCTATTTCAAATGGAGGGCATCTCACCGATACAAGTGACTAACGTAATAAAGTTTATGGTGTACTACTGGTTGAAGCATAGAAGTAGGCATGATATTTGTAATTGGGAGGAGTGGAGTGTCTTTCTTTTTGCTGGTTTGTAATTTCTAGTCTGTTGTGTACTCTGTTTTCGGTCCCTCATCCAGTTCCTTGCTAGGTGAGGGTACCATATTTCTAATATATATTGCCGTTTCCAAAAAAAATCTATTGAGCGAGGTTTTGTCAATTTAGGAATGGATTAAATGGACTGTGTTTACTAGAAAAACCTATTGAATTCTTGACTGGAAACGGGATTGACATATTTAGATCGATTTGCAAATTATGCATTTTGAATATTTGATAAATCATAAAAATTAAAAAATTATAGTTATTAAAAGTGAAAATAAACCACTAAAACAATTATAAAATATTCAAAAATTGATGACAAAACATTATGTATAATTGATTTTAATGAGTAGTCTATATTTTTTAAACAATGATCATTATATCTTAAACATTGCTAATATCAAATGCTTTCGAATAACATTTTGAAAAGAGT